TGGTCAGAGATAGTACTGCGACTTCAGTGTCGGCATGCAAGGGATGCTGCAGAGATTGATCGCTGTCAATGTAAGGTGAATTGTTTAATGGCTAGCTTTATTCAGAAGCTAGGTGGGGTGGTGGTCAGGCACAAGGAGTTGGAGAATAGATTGCCTGAGTATTTCCGTCAAGACGGGATGCATCTCTCAGAGGTGGGTTGGGATTTGTTAAATTTGGAGTTTCAGGAAGGGCTTAGCAAGGCATCGATTTTGCAGGGTGGCAGAGCTCAGACAGCTTAAAGGGTCAAGGTCTGAGCTTGTGGTGGGGCTGGTAAGGTGAAGGAAAAGGGGGGATAGGGACCTTAGAGTTAGAAAAGACTGAAATAAAATTGGGGTTATACAGTTGGTTATTGTGTTGGGAAGTTTCGAGTCTGTAGGTGGCTCAGAACCTTGAGAATGTGTGGGTATCCGGGTATACCCTCACCACTGGTCTGTTTCCCTTTATTGGTTACGTGTTATGTATGTATGTATGTATGTATATATGTATATATATGTGTTATTTATGGTTGTAGTCATTATCCTATTGGGTCTGCAATAGGTGGGGGCAATGCCTTTTTATTGTTATGTATTATATAAATATTATGTTCACTAAAAGCTGTGGACAAGTTTTTTTTCCCATACATAGTAGTGTTGTGTCTTATTCAAAGGGGTTGGGTGATTGTTTCGCTAGGTACAGATTCACTTGCCCATTTGCCCCTCCATGTGTCTTATCCCACTCAGCCCTAGATCTGTCTTATTCTCCCACCAGTTCCTCCATGTGTCTCATGCACATTCCCCAGCCCCTCCATGTGTCACCCCTCTAACAACTCAATGTGTCTCATCCCTCCCCATGTGTCTCATACTTGATCTCATCCCCCCCGTGCCTCCTAACCTCCATGGCTGAGCGGATCATGGGTGAAGGATCGTCTGTTTCTGACAGAAAGTGCTCATGTGTGGAAAAACTAAGTACACCTTTACTTAATTAAGAGGCTAAGTAGCAGACATGTGCTATGAATCAAATTACCTTGATTAACTGATCATCAGCAAGTGTGATCACCTCTGTAAAAGTGAAAAAGATTATTCAAAAATTGAAAACATTTAAGACAGTTGTCAATCTTCCCAGGAGTGGACAGCAAATTCCTCCAAGGTCAGACCATTCAATGCTCAGAGAAATTGCAAAAAGAGTTACATCTCAAACTTTAAAGGCCTCAGTTAGTACATTAAATGTTAAAGTTCATGACAGTACAATTATAAAAAGACCGAACAAGTATAGTTTGTTTGCAAGGGTTGCAAGGGGAAAGCCTCTTCTCTCAAAAACAAACATGGCAGCACTGCCTAGGTTTGCAAAGTTGCATCTGAACAAAGCAGTAAACTTCAAAAGACCAATGTCTTTTGCTCAGACGCGACCAGAATGGAGATGTTTGTCCATAATGCACAGCGCCACATTTGGTGAAAACCAAACACAGCATATCAGCACAAACGCCTCATAGCAAATGTCAAGCACAGTGGTAGAGGGGCGATTATTTGGGCTTGTTTTACAGCCATAGGACCTGAGAACCTTGCGGTCATTAGGTTGACCATGAACTCCTCTGTATAACAAAGTATTCTAGAGTCAAATGTCAGGCTATCTGTCCAACAGCTAAAGCTTTGCTAAATTAGGTCATGCAACAGGACAATGATCCCAAGCACACCAGCAAATTTACAACGGAATGGACGAAAAAGAAAATAATCAAGGTGTTGGAATGGCCTAGTCAAAGTCCAGACCTTAACCCAATTGAATGCTGTGGCAGGTCCTTAAAAGAACTGTGTATAAACAAGGGCCAGCAAACTCAATAAACTAAAACAACATTCTAAAGAGGAATGGGCCAAAATTCCTCCACAACAATGTGAGATAAAATCATTACTTCAAGTTATTGCTGCTAAATGTGGCTCTACAAGCTATTGAATCATAAGGTGTACTTAGTTTTCACACATGGCCTCTCCATTGTGGCTTTATTTTTCACATGACATGGTGTAATATGTCATGTGTTGTTCATCTGAGGTTGCATTTACCTAATTTTAATATCTGCTAAGGAACAAGTGATTGTTTTTATGTCCTGTTATGTAAAACCATAGAGTTCAAAGACAGTGTACTTTTTTCCCATGACTGTACACACACACAGATACCAATGACAGATAGCCTGTGATTGTCTGATGCAGATGTATGCAGTGATTAAAGATTACACATGTTTATAACACTAATATATATGTTGGATCAGATAACTAATACATGACGTGTTGTCATTAATTTCACTACAATCAAGTATTATCAAATGTTACGTTGACCAGGTCTCTGTCTGTGCAGCATTTGCCCAGATATTGTTCCCTGCCAGCCACCCAGGTGTTTACCCAGGTCATAGTTCACTCAAGACTCCCGCCATATAAGCACTCAAACCGCAAAGTTTACTAAAGCAAGTGTTGGTGAGTGCAATCTTTAATCACTGCATACATCTGTATCAGACAACCACAGGTTATCCGTTATTGGTATCTGTCGTTGTCTTACAGACACACCAAATATTGAAACTCTGGTCTTACACATCTTTGGGCTTGGAGCCAGTCTCTTTTTTCC